TTTAGGCTGTCTCCATCTTTTTGATATGTCTCTTGTAGACAGCGTATTGAAGGATCCTATTTTCTTATCCATTCTGCTGTTTATGTCACTTATATGGTACATTTAATCCATTTACATTTAGTGCAATTATTAATAGATATGAATTGATTATTATCATTTTTCTGTGTGTGTGTGTGTATGTTGCTGCTGGATTCTTTATTCCACATCATTTTATATGCTGAGTTCATTTTGTTTGTGGGTTTTCTTTTCATTTTCATTTCTCTGTTTTGCTAATGTTTACTAAATCTTTCTGATTTCTTCTTTTTTATATTTTGATGTACAGGTGTATTATTTGTCTTTAAGGTTACCCTATAATTTATTTATTTATTTCCCCCTGCTTAAAACAGTCTGTTTTATCTTGAAATTTACTTGACTTCCTTGCTATTTGGAAGTTCTCTAACACTATTCCTTTTTTTTTGCTTTGTAGTTGAGATGAAATAAAATGTATGATTTCTTGAATGTAAAACTGGTGATCAGCTTTGTGAACCTTTACTCACTTTTTTTCAGGTCTTTTTAATGATCTTTTGTTTTATTCATATATGATGTTCTTAATATCCTCCCTCAATTCTTCTGGTCTATGGTCATTAGTGTCTAATTCATTAAATCTTTTCTTGAGATGGTCTCTAAGTTCAGGCAAGATATATTTATGGTCATATTTTTGTTCTTATGGACTTGTTTTAATTTTCTTCAGCTTTAGCCTGAACTTGCATATGGGCAAACTTCACATGTCCAAAAAACAAATCAGATATATCATTGATGATTAGAGGCTTTCAGTAATGTGTACCAGAGTAGAAATAGAATGGTAATTACTGCTTTTTATAACTCTAATGGAATGTTGTTGCTATTGTTAAGTACAGTTGAATCAGTTTCAACTCAAATTGGCCCTGTATAGGGTTTCCACGGAGTGACTGGTGAGTTTGGGGTATAAACTTTCTTACTAGTTCTGGGCCTGCTATGTTTGATATATGTTTCTCTAATTAGTTTCTGCTCCTGGAATAAACTTTCCCCATTTCTGTTCCTTTTTGTAGGTCCAAGTAATAATATCCTTAAATTTAATATGCAAATAAATTTGGGCATCAGGAGATAGGTAATTGTTTCAGAAAGTAAATATTTTATTTAATCTTTTTCCACCTGCATTGTTCATCATAGTTAAATAAGTTATGTTTTTAGGCAGTATCCTTATCATAAAATGAGGAGTCTAAGGACTCATCTGGCAGCATAGGCTTCTCACAGCACGCATACAGGATCCTCACATGATGCCCATCTTACTGGTGAGTACTCTCACATATCAAATCCTGTATTGCTACGGTACCCAAGAGTTAGATGGTGTTATGCAAAGCACAGCATATGTAAAGCAAAACCCAACAAATACAAGAAAAATAAACAAATCCTTGATTTGAATGAGAGCTTTTAACACACCTCTCAATAATTGATGAACTATGCTGTCAAGAATAAGACAAATCATATAGCTTAATATGCTAGGGACGTAAAATTGAACAGGAATGGCATTGCATTCATCATCCAAAAGAGCATTTCAAGAACTATTTTGAAGTACAATGCTGTCTGTGGAAGCAAAATATCCATATGTCTAAAAGGAAGACCAGTTAATATCACTATTATTCAAATTTAAACACACCAACCACTAAATCCAGTGATGACGAAATTGAAGAATTCTACCAACGTCTTCAAACTGAAATTGATCTGATATGCAATTAAGATGCATTGATTCAATGGTGATTAGAATCTGAAGGTTGGAAACAATGAGTAAGAATCTACAGTTGGAAAATATTGGCCTGGGGATATAGCAATGATGCTGGAAATGGTATGACAGAATTTTGCAAGACCAACAATTTCTTCAATGCAAATACCTGTTTTCGATAACATAAAATGGTTATTTTACATGTGGACCTCACCAGATGGAATATACAGGAATCAAAATTACTACACCTGTGCAAAGAGACAGTGGAGAAGCTCAAAATCAGCCAAAACAAGGCCCAATTGTGGAACAGTTCATAACTTGTTCATATTCAAGTTCAGGCTGAAACTGAAGAAAATTAAAACAAGTCCTGGAAAGGCAAAATATGACCATGAGTATATCCCATGTGAATTTTAGGAACCATCTCAAGAGTAGATTTGATGCATTAGTTACTGATGACCAGAAGAGTTGCAAGGTAACATCAACAACATTATATATGAAGAAAGCAAAAGGCCATTAACAAGATAGGAAAAAAAGAAAAGACTAAAATTAATGTCAGAGAGACCCTGAAACTTGTCTTTCAAAGTAGAGAATGTAAAGCCACTGGAAGAAATGAGGAAGCTAAAGAGTGAATAGAAAATGTCAAAAGGACAGGTCAAGAAAATAAAATATTATAATGAAATATGCAAAGACCTGGAGTTAGAAAACCAAAAGTGCAGAAAATCTCAGCATTTCTCAAGCTTAAAGAAATGAAGAATAAATTCAAGTCTCAACTTCAAATATAGAAGGTTTCTATGAAGAAAACATTGAACAACGTAAGAAGCAGAAAAGAAGATGGAAGAATACCCAGTCACTACCAAAAAGAGTTGGGTGTCATTAACTATTTTAGGAAACTAGGATGGTTTAAAATCAGGAAAGATATGTGTCATAGATATAGCCTTTCACCACTTATTAAATTTCCATTCTCAGCAAGTAATTAAAAAAGCCAGACTATATGAAGCAAGCAGTATCAGGATTGGAATAAGTCTCACTTACAATCTGCAATATGCAGATAACACAACTTCGCTTGTTCAAAGTGACATGAAATACTTACTGAATAAGATCAAAGTCTAGTCTTCAATTTGGATTATACCTCAGTGTAAAAATGAAAAGCCTCACAACTGGACCAATAAGGAATATCATGAAAAACAGAAAAAACTGAAACTGTTAAAGACTTCATTTTTGGGGGTCCATAATCAACACTCATAGAAGCAGCAATCAAGAATTCAAATAACACATTGAATTCTTTTACAAATCTGCAAAAAACTTCTTTCAAGTGTTAAAAAGCATGTGAAAATTGCATGAGCAAATGGAAGTTGGTCAATGAATTAAGAAGACCATAAAAGAATTGATGCATTTAAATTATGGTGTTGGTGAAGAATAGTGAAAGTACTATGGATTGCCAGAATGAACAAATCTGTCTTGGAAGTATAGAGTGTTCCTTAGAAGCAAGGAAGATATGTTTCAGGAAGGAAAAGACACTGGAGAAGAACGTCATGAGGACATCAGAGGAGGAAAGACAATCAATGAAATTGAACAGTAGCAAACAACAATAGGCTCAAACGAGCAACAATTGTGAAGATGGCACAGGCCCAGGCAATATTTCCTTCTGTTGTGCATTAAGTCATTGAATGGAAACCAACTTAACAGCACCTAACAACACCTCAACATGGATGTATGAACTAGAACCCTAGTAGCAATACTTTTTTTGACTTGCCTTAGTAGTTTCCCATTCAAGAATTTATAAGCAGGTGGTTCTGTGATATTTGTTGCTATTCCCACAATGTATCAGCACTCTTCCCATTTCTAACCTGCCTTCACTGTTTCCATCCCTCCAGTTTACCTGCCCTTTCTTGCCTTCTCATCTTTGCTTTTGGGCAAATGTTGCCTGTTTGGTCTTACATAGTTGATTGTCCTAATAAGCACATTCCTCACAGTGTTTATTTTATAGGCCATTCTATTCCTTGACTGAAAGGTGACCTCTAAGAGTGGTTTCCTTTCCAGATTAAAATAGTGTCTTTGAACAGTAGTCTTGGGGGATCCTCCAGTCTCTACTGGTCCAGTAAGATTGCTCTTTTTTATGAACTTGAACTTTGTTCTATATTTTTTGCCCATTCTCACTGGGACCTTCTGTTTTTGTCCCTAGTCAGAGTGGTCTATATGGTAGCTGGGCACCATTTACTTTTTCTGGCCTCAGGTTAGAGGATTCTGGCATTCATGTAGGTCATCACTCCTGTGGACAAATTGCTTCCTTGAACATTTATTATTATCTTTATGAAATATGTCATGCTAACTGACCTAAATGTCCCCTGAGAATATTTTTTTATCTTAATACTTAGTACAGTCTTCCCAGTTTCCCAGTCTTTTTGCTAATATTTTATATTAATGAAAAACATTCAAATTCAGATTCATACTGGTCTTAAAGGTTCCCCCCCCCTCCCCCCGGAGCCACTTGTATTATCCAAGACAAAAATTAATAAGGTAGATTTTTGTTTGTTTTTAAATTGTGGGCTAATTTCTGAAAATTACAAGTGGGAGGAATTGAGTGTTTGTCTCTCATGTTGTTATGTGCCATTGAGTCAGTTCTGATCCACAGTAACTCTGTACAGGGTTTCTAAGGAGTGACTGGTGGGTTTGAACCACCAGCCTTGTGGTTAGCAGTTCATTTCTGATCTTACAGTACCACACCAGGACTCCTTAGTTTCCCATAGATATGCTATTAATTGGTATACATCTTTATATTTCTAGGTGTTCTCTATTCTATGTACAAGGGTTGCCTTAGACCTAAATTCTTCAATGTGACCAAAAAATAAAGCTACTGTCTCGGGGCAAGAAAGACAAGAAGTCTTCTGAAAACTATTAGGAAGTAGAAATTTTTTATTTGTAACAAATTACACTACAAAAATATCAGACAATGATCATAGCATTGTATAGTATATCTCAAAAAAATTTTTTTAATTCACAAATTAACAATCATAAATAACCAACTAAAAAAAGAGTCATTATTGTTTTTAAAAACCTAGAACATGATTTTTTTAATATTAAGAGTTTAATCCAGTTTCCAGGTTAGGAGAGGAAGAAAATAAGAAAAGTCTTTCCCAATAGACAGTTGAGTCCTAAGCAGGGTCTGTCCAACAGCACATAAGACAGGCTAAGTTCACACAGGAAATCACTGAAACACACTGACTGTGATGGCTACCTGTGAAGAACAGGCAAAGTAAACAAGTCATTGGTGACTACTGGTGGCTTCTTCCTTCAGCAGGACTTTAGAGACGCTTACCAGGCACCCACACTCCAGGAAGGACATGCCCAATGCAATCAAACATCGCCAACTCTGAAAGATAAAATATGGTCATCATGCAGCCTTTCTGAAGACCCCCTACCCACAATGACTGCTCACACTCACTGCTCAGTGGCAAACTTGCTCCCTTCCTTTAACATCCAGCTTTGCCCGTCTTCTACCACCAAAGATTCAAAGTCATTCTCCCAACTCCAACCCCAATTCAAAACATTGTGAGCCCAGTTCTCCTCCACAACGTGTTTTCATACTAATTCAAAAGTGACTGCTAAAGTTCTGACCATTCTAATTTTTTGTATTTGTGATTTGTTTCTTTTAGCGCACTGGGAGTTCCCAGAAGACCAGTCCTATCTCATTCCTCACCTCTCAGGGTGCTGCAGATTGGGAAGAATGAGTAACAAATACACCTGGAATGTTTTATAAGATTCTTAATTTGGAGCTAATCAGCAGTAACCCAACTCTAAAATTAGTCCTCACTCTAAAAGTGGGTCTTCAACAATATTATTGGTTACAGGTAGTCTGAGCAGAAATTGGCACTTTACAGCCAGTTCTCATAAAGGAAGCATTTTCCTAACTTCTATTGTTGGTGTTATTATTAAGTGCCTTCAAGTTGGTTCTGAACCCTAGTAACCCTGTATAGGGTTTCTGAGGCGCAGATGTGAGCTTGAACAGCCAACCTTGCAGTTCAAACCAACTTTGCAGTCCAGCGCATTAACCCACAGTGACAAACCAGGAGTCCAGCATATTTTAAAAACAACTCCTGCCAAGCACATACTCAGTTACTTGGTTTTCCATGGAGTCACTAGATCAGTAGGATCAGCATAATGATAGTGTGCCTAAGGCTTACTGGGGTAAAGAAAAGAGGGCTACATCCATCTAAGTCATAATTTTTTAACATCTATTGTGATATGCTCAGTCGGGTACCTGTGCTTGTCTGGTATGGAGACTAGATAAGTATTCTAGAGATTGACAACAGAGTACCAGCCTCGATCCTTGAGGGGAGGAGGATGTATTATTCTCTGCAGCACATAAATTCTGCTGTGCCTTATTCCCAATCATTATGTTGTTCAGAAAAATTTATAGGATACTGTTGGATTCATTGATCCAAAGCCAGTTTTTCATTAATATAACAAATACAAGAAATTTAGAAAAAAAACTTTAATTTGGAAGATAGAGAAAATAATATATTCATAATCCCACTTTTAAACAACTACTAGTAACACTTTTGTATAATTTTACTGTAGACTTTAAAATTTTGTTTATAATCTGGGTATTAATATTTTTTTTTCATAGCTATGATTTTCATAGCCACAATTTTTAAATGTAAATAGGAAAATTCACTGAGCATTTCTCAAGCTGAGGTAACTTAAGAAAAAATTCAAGCCTCAACTTGAAATATTGAAGGATTCTATGGAAAAAATATTGAAAGATGCAGAAAGCATCAAAAGGAGATGGTAAAAATACACAGAGACAGTCTTAAACAAAAAGAAATGGTCAATGTTCAACCATTTCAAGAGGTATGATCTCGAGCCAATGATACTGAAGGAAGAAGTCCAGGGTGCACTGAGGGCATTAACAAAGAACAAGATTCTGGGAATTGATGGAATACAAATAGAAATCTTTCAACAAACTTATGCAGCAATGGATGCACTCACTCATCTATGCCAAGAAATTTCGAAGACAGGTACCTGGTCAACTGACTAGAAGAGATCCATATTTGTTCCCATTCCAAAGAGAAGTGACCCAATGGAATGCAGAAATCATCTGACAATATTAATACTGTATGGAAGTAAATTTATGCTAAAAATAATTAAACACGGCTGTAACAGGATGCTGCCAGAGGTTCAGGCTGGATTCAGAAGAGGACGTGGAACGAGAGATATCATTTTACTCTGATCAACCATCAACACTCATGGAAGCAGCAGTCAAGAAATCAGATGACATACTGCATTAGGCAAATCTGCTGTACAAGACCTCTTTAAAGTGTTCAAGAGCAAAGATGTCAGTTTGGAGACTAAGGTGCACCTGATCCAAGCCATGGTGTTTTCAGTAATCTTATAGGAATGTGAAAGTTGGACAATGAATAAAGAAGATCACAGATGAATAGATGCATTTGAGTTATGGTGTTGGAGGAGATATTAAAAGTAATATGAAACACCAAAGGAACAAACAAATTTGTGTTGGAAGAAGAACAGCCAGAATGCTCTTTGGAAGCCAGGATGGCCACATTTTGTCTCTCATACTTCGGATATATCAAGAGTCCCTAGAGAAGGCCATTATGCTTGGTATAGTGGAGGGTCAGTGATAAAAACGACGACCCCCAGCAAGATGGATTGGCATAGCAGCGGCAGCTATGGGCTCAACTGTAGCAAGCACTGTGAGGTTGACGCAGGACTGGGCAGCATTTCGTTCTGTTGTGCATAAGGTCACTATGAGTCAGTATCAACTCGACAGCACTTAATAACAACGTGACAATTTCATATAAATTTTTCATAACTTGGAAGATAGGTTTTATGCGCTCTTCTTTTGGGTTCCTTCATTTATAAATGTTAGCCCACTTCCTCCATCCCTGTTACTGTGCCCCATCTCCTGCAAACTGAACTTACCAAGTAGAACACAAAACTCAGATAAGCCACGCTGATCAGAGCAGCCACCACATACAACACCATCTGCCCTAGTCCCTGGACATAAGAAACTACAAGGTACATGTTGATGGAACAGATGACAACGACCAAGATTCCTCCTGCAACCCTCCAGCCTCTGTAAAAGAATCATGACAGTCACTTAGAAGACTCCACCTTTGTCACAACCAGGAAAGGAAACTGCACCCTGTGGGGGGACTAGGACCGAGAAATAAGACATTTCAAAATGGTTTTTTCCTATATTCCACATTAGGTTAAATGAGTCACAGTTACACAATGATAGGGAGAATTTTTTTTTTCGTCTTAAGCACTTTAAGGGTATATATAAAAGGTACTAGCTTCATGCCTGTGGGTCTTACATTTACCAAAGAACAGAAGTGACAGAAGTGAAAAGTGAGGATCTGACAGATCTGCAGAAGGCTGTTCTCATTTAGACCATTTAACATTAAGATTAATTAAAATACTTCAAATGTCAATGACAGAAGTTGAAAAGTTAATGCTGCTGAATAGTTTTATGAGAAGGAAAAATGCACTTTCCCTCCATTAATACATTCATAGTCTCCATTTTCTAAGCTGAAGAATGAGGAAGCAGTTTCAGTGATCACCTCTCAAAGCATATAGTTCCACTAGCTGACACATTCTCTGATTGGCCTACCTGGTGAAGATACCCTTCCCCTACATATCTGTACCAACTTTGGGGACCGAGAGAAGAATATACTCACATTCCATTGGCAAAGTCACTCATAACCGGCCGCAAACTTGTAAATGTGAGGATGGGTATGAGAGCAAAGGGAAGCTGGAAAAGAGAGAAGCTCAGAGTGAGTCACGGGGGGCCTTGTTACCCCAGAAAGCAGCACTGTCGGACCAATGCAAGCACAGACTTTGCTTCATTTACTCCTGAGAAGTAATCAATCCTTTCATTCCAACCTGCTACTGTATCATGTTAACATCTGTACAGCTGCCATTAAACTATTATCAATCAAAAGTGTTTTTACAAATATTTGCATCTATCTTGTCTTCTTTAACCTCTACAGTACCTATGGTGGTGGTGGTGGCTATGTGCCGTGGAGTCAGTTACGACTCACAGCGACCCTGTACAG